TGTCGGACCAATGGGCAGTTCCCCATATGGATACCATCACAGAGAAGAGATTCTCCCAAAATGTGTAGATGTCTTTTTTGCATTTGTGGTGTCAAAACTGGGATCATGGTTGCAGGTTAGAAAACTGGTGCCCCAGCTCTTTTCAAGAAATTTCTCATACCAGTTTAGGCTATACAGAGATGAATGGGAAAAAAATGGCTCTCCCTCTGCTTAGAGGCTCACTGAGCCAAATGTGTAAGCGTGTGTGATTCCGTTATCACATTTCTGCGACCAGCACACATTTTCCTACGTTTTGATGTATACCTTATGTATGTAGAGTGAAAATTGTGGCAATGAGAGCAATTTGTTGAGAAGTTTTTAGGACGATCCACACTCTAGCTCTGTCCCATAGAAACCCATTGTAAAGTTTTTACATATTTTTTTTGCAAACTTCGTAAATAAAAGCTTGGAAAATCTCTAAAAAAAAGTCATTGCACACCATTCCAGATAATCCGCATGATCTGATATATGTCTTGTGTGTTGGCAACGCTGCAGGACAAGGAGCGTGCCTGAAAAAAAGGCGGAAGATTTTGAATAAGAAGAATCGGAATAAGAATATACACGATGGATTATATATAGTGGCCTTGCTGTTATACACCTGTGTCATCCCCACCTTAACTTTCTGACATTAGTGAACATCAGTATGGGTTTAGGAGCAGTCGATCAACATCTTTATCAATGATAGAATTTGTAGAAAACAGGCTAATACCTGTTGAACTTCGGTGCCTGTATGTTAGAATAGCAGCTCCCTGTCTCATTAATCTGTGCTCACAAGATGTTGGTCGCACAGTGTGGGGTATGTGGGATGCTTGTGTTCTTTCTACAGGGTCAGTGTTTTACACAACAGTTGAAAGAGCTACTTTGTCTTGAAGCTCTGCTTTGATCTGCTACCACCAGTGCAGGTGACCAGTCTCTGATGACGTCTCTATTGAATTGCTTGTTATCTGGTTTCCCAGAACAGATTCTCTGGTATCCCAGTTTGGTTGGACCCACATTTCTATTCCCATCCCTCACAGTTTGAACAGAGGTTACACCTTATAACAGTTGCATTGTTTTTTTTACAATTTGTTCATAGATCCTCACTGGTTCTAAATCATCACATTGCTGTAAAAGCTAAAGTTAATTACATGTGCACAGCACCTTAATTGCAACAACGCAACTTTTACTGAGCCACATATACGTCAACCAGGACTGATAACTCTTACACTTCCTTTCACCTCACCAGCTGTCTGCAATTGATTGTTTTACTTAGAAGACCCTATAGTATGTATACTGAGTGATGTTAACATGTTTTTGCTTCATACATAGACACACCTTCAGTATTCTGATTGTGCTTCAAATGCTCACAGTTTCCATTTTTCAAATATAATTCATAGCATGAATTTGTTCTTGCTCCTTTTTCATTGAGCTTAACATACACACCAATCTCTGAGGCTGTGTGTGGGTGATTGTCCACAGTGTGTGGACAAATCAAGAATGGAAAATTGACCTGTAACCACTGAAAGAGAAAGATTCCACTCTGCAATGACTCACAGGAAGGTTAGGTTGATATATAGTGCCCTCCTGTGTTTAAAAGGTAAAACACACACATATATGCAGTCAGCCACACTGATGCATGATTTCTAAAAATAATAATAATGTGAAGATCAGTCACTCAGTGTGACAATAAGCTTCATTTTGTACAGAACTGAACCTAATCCATAGCATGCTTACTCTTCTGACAGTACAAAATGTATAAAGAAGCTACACAGTTATGCTTATACACTCTTACAGATATCAACTTCAGTGCAGTCATTCTAGTTCTATCAATCAACAATTATACTTAAATCAGTCAGTCATTATAGTCCGCATAAATCAAACTAAGTGAGATTTACTTTTCTTTGAATTAAGGATGACATGCTCCTGCCCTCAGGCTCACAGTGTTACGTGTTTGCTGAAGAGTGGGCAGAGAGGAAATAAAACTGCTGTCTGAGCAAGGGAGTGGGTGATTTCACCACAGAAAAAGGACAATGTGCTGAAGTGATTCATTACGCCTTGTCGGAGGCTAACAGCTTGATACTAAAAGGCAGCAAAAAGTGCCTAAACAAGATGATATCCTGATGTAATAAATTTGATTAATTCCACTGTGAACTGTGCACAACTACGGCAAGTACACCAGGTCAAAGTTCAACAAGGAGGTTTGTCTATAAAGTGTTAATTTCGAGAATTAAATGTTCCACTTGGCATTGTTGTCTCTTACTGTATGTTTGGCTTTCCTGGGGGTTTGTTTAAAATGTGTATGGCCCTGACTGACTTATTTTTCACATTCTCAGATCTCAGAACATCTTTTGGTGGGTGTAATATCACAACTGCTGATAGAGTTGAAGGCCAAAAGAGCTAATGCTATATAAACACACCCTAAGTTCAAACAAAATGGACGTTATCCTTCACTATCCGTTATCTTCACTTCAGTTGTCATGCGTTTAAATAACGACTCAACTTTAAAGTTTTTTTTCTTTCTTTTTCCGTGAAGTCATACTGCAGCCCGAGCCAGTCATTTTTGCCACTGATAAATTCTCTCACAGATGCAGGGTAGGCCTGTAAGCCACAAAGTGACAGTGAAGTGTGAAGGCGGCATATGATTCAGACGAAGTTCACGCTCAGGAACCGAGTGTGCCCATATGATAGCTCGAACTATCTCAAACTTTTGAAAGACAAGTGAACGAGGAGGAAATCAGAAAAACCACATCGGGCAGAATAGTGAGCCTCAAACTAAAAACACAGAGCGCCTTTTTTCCATGTGACTACACTTAACTGTCAAACAGCCTTTTATATTCAGAGTGCTCACGTTTCTGATGCTACAGCCGCATAATGCTTATACAGCTTAATGCAGACTTTGTATTTACAAGTGCAAAAGTTTTACAGTGTAATGTGTGTTTTGATACCAGAATGAGTTGTCTCAGGGCGATGAAAGGATTTAACAGTAGCACTCACAAGACAAGGGATGTTAGCATAAATGCAAGAGGGTGGCATTTGTGTAACAACATGGTTATCATACAGGTAATAACGTTTGGCAATTATGTGACGAAAAAAAGGATTTAATTTCTGTATTAGGGGAATAATGTCAAAATATATAATAAATAAATAAATAAATAATATAATAGTGTAAAAATATTTTAAGGTAATATTGAGGCAAAACATTAACAATTTATTGTTATTATTATTTTATTATTATTATTATTAGTGGTAGTAGTAGAAGAAGTAGTAGTACTAGTGATAGTAGTAATAGTAGTAGTAGTCGTTGTTGTTGTTGTTGTTGTTGTTGTTGTTGTTGTTGTACAGTAGTAGTTGTACCAGTAGAAGTGGTAGTAGTAGAAGAAGTAGAATTAGTAGTTAATTTTATTTAACCATACTACCCCCGTCTCTAATATCATTTTGCCTAAAGTGATATTATCCCATTAGCCTGAGTTAGCCAGATTATTATTAGCATATTAAACGGCTATTAACATGTTATTACCATGATATTCCTGATAGTTTTATTTCCAGTATTACACTCATGTTTTTGCCTTATTATTCAGGTTATTTACTGTTTATATACTACAGTATTACTCACGTATTGCCTGTTGTACCCATGATATTACTGCTTTTTAACTTGTTATTACTGAGCTGGAATGTGAAGTGCTACAGAAATATGATTGAGCATATGTGATTAAAGAGCTGTACTGCTGAATTCAGATAGTATGACATTTATTTCTCTTTAATTAGTTACAGCACATACTGCATAGAAACATCACAGCATTAGTTGATGTCAAAACTGGGATCATGGTTGCAGGTTAGAAAACTGGTGCCCCAGCTCTTTTCAAGAAATTTCTCATACCAGTTTAGGCTATACAGAGATGAATGGGAAAAAAATGGCTCTTTCTCTGCTTAGAGGCTCACTGAGCCAAATGTGTAAGCTTGTGTGATTCCTTTATCACATTTCTGCGACCAGCACACATTTTCCTACGTTTTGATGTATACCTTATGTATGTAGAGTGAAAATTGTGGCAATGAGAGCAATTTGTTGAGAAGTTTTTAGGACAATCCACACTCTAGCAATGACATCACACACTCTAGCTCTGTCCCATAGAAACCCATTGTAAAGTTTTTACGTTTTTTTTTGCGAACTTCGTAAATAAAAGCTTGGAAAATCTCTTAAAAAAAAAGTCATTGCACACCATTCCAGATAATCCGCATGATCTGATATATGTTTTGATAGTGTAGAGGAGTGAAACTTGCAGCACTTGTGCCATTCTGCAAACCACAAATTTGGTACATTTGCATGTGTCGTGCATACTGTATTTCTAAAGTGAGATGCCTGCCAAGCTGCAGACCGCTGTTTGAAAAACAAGCAATGCTTATTTTTTTGGTGACCATTCGCCGTGTCGCAGGTGTTTTGTACCAAACCTGGGTGATTTTAGTGACACCCTGCTTTTTCGTGGCCTTTGTGCCACCAAACATAGGTGTTTAAAGCCAAAGTATGACCATTTACTAACCATAACCAAGTGATTTTTGTGCCTACACCTAACCACACCCTCACAAGAAATGTAAAGTATTAATGTATTTGTGGTTTGCAGAAATGTACAGTGCAATACAAGCGTTTTCTTTCTGGTGAGTGGGTTGAAATTTGCTCTAGAATGACACAGCACTGCCGTATGATCATTCAGTTATACTTTACTGGTACACTGTTAAATCTAATGAAACGTGGGATTTTACAATCAATAGCTTTAACCGTAGCTGCCCCACCGCTCCTGTTATTTCCCACTTTTTGACACTGCCTGTATTGCTTTGATCCACTCCTTTCTTTCTTCAGCTGTAGCAGCTTGGAGGAAGTAGTGAGTCTCATCTGAGGTGATGATCTCAAAGAGGTTGCCGTCAATGTCGTATTTTTTGGCTGAAACCCAGAAAAAATGATAGTTGAAAGGGATGAGCTGATAAGAAACTGACAGTAAACACCAATTATATTTCATGGTCACAGTGGGGGAGGAATAGGGCATGTTTATCCAGTCCCACTCACCGTCAGGCACGTACTCCACGGCTGTAACCACAGACCCACGGAGATGGATGGAGCCCAGAGGGTCATCACCCTGACACAAAGAGATGACACAAAAGAAGGGAGAAAGTAAATAAAATAAACTCTTATTCTTGATTCTCTGTCACTTCAGCTTCTAAAGGTCAGTATATTTACCTTTGTAGGATCATAATAATGCATATAAGCAGGGTCGTCTCTTAGAATGAACTTTCGCACCTTCCAGTTTTTCCTCTTATGTCCCTGTGATAAAATAACACAACATGCTTTATTTGATTTGCTGAACAATACTAAACAGCAAACGCTGCGGTCTGTGAAACAAACTTCCTCTTTCAGTGTACGTGAAAATGTATAATTAACAGAAATTTCCTCATGTCTATTTGAGTGCAACTGTGAAGTCAAAAGTAAAAGGTGTGATGTTTCATAGCTTGACAACATCAATCTTGGCCTCTCATCAAGTTATTCTTCCTGTTAGTAACACAGTTTATATTACCGTTGTAAATGCATAAAGTTTAACGAAAACATGGTGACACTTCTGCTCGCGCTCTGATTCACCTGTTTCAGCAAACAGCCCTGTTTCACAATGTTTCCTCTGAATTCCTCCTTCAGAAGCACGTCTTCATCACTGGAGTAGCCTTCACAGAAGAACCCGCTGTCTGCCTGCCACAGAGCACAGCCATGTACATGCACATCATGTTTCATCATTCCCAACATAATTAATTAAATATGGTGTCCAATAATGACTTTTTGAACTTACAAAGTAATAAAGAGCAAGTGTCTGATCTAAGAAGGCTGTCTGCTCTACACTCTCTGCTCCATCTTTTGACAGGTCACCTGCAGGCTGGAGGAAACCCTCATTCAGGAGCCCTGTTGCTAACATGATGGCCTCAGGCCTGTTTCTCACTTTCTCTTTTGAAATCAGCCACTCGATTACCGTCGCACCTGCACAAACATGAGGAGGGAGCGAAATATGGTAACACCATTAGAAGGTAAAAAAAAATAACATCTTCCACACTGGTGACATTAATAAAAGCAAGCCTACCGGTGAAGCAGTGATTGAAGACTCGATTCTCCTGCTCCAGTTTTAACTCTTTTACTCCATCATCTTGGTCCTTCATCAGTGCGTACAGTTCACTATGAAAACATAATGTGGAAACTGTCAGCATGTCTTGTCATGAAATCATTTTAAATAAGCACAACCAGCTGTCTGTTAATAAACCTCTACACCGAGCAGGAATTGTCCAGTCGTAGCTTAGCTTTCAAATATAAGCATAACAGGCCTGCAGGTTTCACAACAGATGGGTTTCCATCCAAATGTAGAGCACATTTTAAACTAGTTTTTGGAAAATGTGCAAAAGGAAATGCAAACTGATGTGCTTTTCCATCCAAATATGGGGAGTTGATTTATCAAGGTAAGCAGGAGGTGGTGCTAATTCTCCCCTCAGGTGCCATTACACCACCATTTCTTTGTTGAATCTGCTTCCACTGCACTTCATCACATTTACCTTTATCTGTACACCCATTTTGCCATCTCCAACCAGCCTAACAACTCTTTTTTGCAATATATTTTTTTAAATTTTTGCCATTTCCACTCTTTTTTTCCCGCAAATTTAAAATGCACATAAAAATAGCCAGATGGAAATGCTCTGTGTTTCTCCACATGCCAAAGTGGTGTGCATCTGATAAACAAAGGCTCTAAGTTTGTCTTTTTTATTTTTTTTATTTTAGTGTTTTCAATACCAAAAGCACACTTATGAGTCAATCTAACTCACTTCGTAATGCTTACATTAGTCCAAGAGGCATAACCAATCACATAACTTTACGCAGTTTCAATTAGCCCTGTACAGGATTGACACATCCACTGTGTGTACCTGACTTGGATGCTATTTTATCATGCAATGCCAAGGGCAGAGCCGCCTACAGTACTACCATATCGTAGGCACTTCTGCATTTTGTACGTCCACGTACACGTATAATCGCCTGTCTCAATTAGAAGCCTAGTCTGGTTGCCAAGCAGTTCAGTTTTTTCATAGTTCTTTCGGATGTATAAAACCAGGTTGTTGGCTACCTCAAATTATGCGTCCATTCTTTGATTACCCAGCGAGTTATTCATATTTCTTCAGTTCATAAATGTCCTCAGATCAAAAGGATCAAAAGCATTTTTCATAAAAATTAATCCAAGTTCTGAGTATTGTTTTAACAGGATAAAGTGCTGTTGTGTCGGTATGCTGGGTGCCGTAATCCTCGAGAGCTGTAATTTTTCGTACAAGTAATAATCATACTGGTTTAAATAAACAGTTACACTGTATTCCCCGATCTTTGCTGAGCAACTATTTTGTGTGAAAGGTATTAAAGGCCTGTCCCAAACATAGGCCTGTTGATTTCAATGATTTGAGCAAATAATAGCCCGGGCTATTAATTGAAGTTTTTGTACTACTTGAAACACCAGCAACAGCAAAGCATACATTTTATCTCTGTGTTCCTTGTCCATGTATGATTTTCTAGAATAAACTAATCCGAACCAGGTTATGCTGGAATGAAGTAACAGTCTGATGTCACATTTTTCTGTAGCCTAAAATAGCTACTTATGATGCCGACTTTTTGTCTGGGACATGTAATAATGTCTCAGTCTTTTAGCATACTGACGACCCCTTCATGGGTTTCTTGTCAGCTGCAGAGATTTCAACCAATTCAGAGATGTTAGCTTCATCAGATACCTCTCTACAGCTGGTAAAATCCGTCAACAGTTATAATTCTAGCTAGCAAAGTCAACAGTCAGGTATCGGGTGTAACAACATAAGGAGGGACTTAACTAAGAGTCACTTCTTAGAATACATCAAACTACTTTTTGGTATTTCCAAATGATTATCTTCACCACCAATAAGATACTACAGTACATACGCGAGGTTGACTGTCTCAGGCAGGCGAATGGAGCGTCTCGTGGACTTCCTGGCAAACTTTCTTCCCCCATCCAGGCAGGTGATGGCTCTCTTGATGTCCTTGACCCATAACTCTCTCTCCTCCACATGTGAAGCTTGGAAGAAGTGATCCTGCTTCTTGTCTGTGGTAATCTTGAACACCAGCTAAATGGAGCATTATCAATCAGTCACGCTGCTACAGCTTCTGTTCTCTCTTGAGATTTTCCTTTAGATATGAGGATAATCAACAATAACTGCTGCTGCTAATTTGGAAAAATATGACTCAGTTAGCTGTCTCGAATGAATCAGATATTCAAATTTAGTATCTTAAATCAATGTAGTCTTAAGCTCTGTTACAAATCCTATAAACTCATACTGTTGTTTTCACATCTCTAATCCTTCAGCGCTAGTTCAGCTGTTCTTGACATTTTCTTACCGTCCTCTTGCCAAAATCCTGGCAAGGACTGATGAGCGTGGCTCCCTTCAGTGGGATCATTCCTTTCGGAGAGCGGTCTGTTTTCTTTTTATAGAATTCCACCCCATCTTCTGACAGCACAGCCCACACAGCCTTCCAGGAGTTTAGCAGTGTACCCTGAGGATCAATAAGATAGTTGACAACAGGCAGCCTCGTTGTTACAGAAAACATGCTGTACATTAACAGAATATTTTTTATTGATACCTATCTCAACATTTCATTGTTATCACTAAATGTACTTATGTCTGTTAGTTTGATGAAACCTTAAAAATAAATGCTTAGTTTTACAGGAATTTCCCTCTGTAAATATTAATTTTGCTTTCTGTTTAGTTTCTCACCCTGAGCTTTATAACATGAAGTGAAAGGTTAACTTGCAGGCCTACAGGCAGCAGATGGGTTTTAGTTGATCAAGCCCACATTAAATTGCAGAAATGAATCTACAGACTTCTGGTAATGGGTACAGAGAAAAGGAATTACTTTCTTTGGAAACCCTTCTCTTAAACAATTTCGGTTTGTGTTTATATATGTTCCGTTTCACAAACTCTCATGTCCTGTTGAGCTTGCATTATCCTCTGCTCCCTCGCTCCCTTGGGGAACAGAAGCAAGCTGTTTAACCAGTGTGACTTTTTTTTTTCAGCGGGGCATGCTTTTGAAAAATTATTACATTTAAAGTTACGTAACGTTATGTTAGAACCAAAGTCTTCCCGAAATATATCTGCTGTGAAACACATGACTTCAAGCATCACAAGAAAGCTGTGGGTGTGCTCCTCAGATTCAGCCATGCAGGGGATAAATAAAACAACAGAAACATGTAAAACGTAGTGTTGGAATATCAGCCTTCTGCTTGTGAACAGCTGCAGTCCTCAGTCAAGTCATTCATGCCCTGCACTGTGTGTAGCAGGATGCAGTACTGGATCATTTGTACTGTGCTCTCTGTCATACATAGCTCTGTGTATGGTTTTGATACCGACACTCTGTTTATGCAAAAACAGATTTATATGTGTATGTCATTAAACTGAGCATTCATGCTAGACCAAAGTCCACTCCCACGGGTATCAGCACTAACCAGGACTTTTCTCATTGTTAACAAATCCAAATTAGATCTCTCAGTACTTTGTGACCTCCTTGCCCTGTCTGTGGCTTACAGCCTCAAGCCGATTTGTTTCATGGAAAAAGCGTAACTTCAAAAACTGGTCACAAAATATAGTTTCATATTGAGAAAAGAGAAGTGATTTCTTAAATCAGATGGGCACTTTAGTTTGTAGCAAAAAGTACCTAAGCTGCACTTAAAATATGCATACCTTAGGGACTATTTTTAGTTGTGGATTAATGCAAATTTGGTGGTCTAGCAAGTGTTTACAGCAGCAGGACCAACCTGGTCTCACTTCCAACTCTTCCGATACTGATACACTTTTGTGGCAGTATAAGACACACTGGGCGGCAGCATTATTTGACACCCCGAGCAACTGCCATAATATAAAAAGCAAGAAAGTCTGCAAAGAACTGGCATGAGGGGAGGTGGATGGGTCTAACAAACTGTGGACTTTTACCCAGGAGATGGCTGTTTGTGTCCTGGGTGAAATCAAAAGTCAATCAAGGTATCTTTAATGCATATGTGTAGCATACTACGCTAGTGAGGTATGTCACATGACATTACATTATATTAGTTATAAACATACTTATTTGTGGTATTTGATGAGGTGGGAGCCATGCCACGGTGGTGTAGTTGTTAGCATTGTCGCCTCACAGCAAGAGGGTTCTTAGTTTGAACCCACGGTGGGGGGTTCGAACCTAGGGTAGGATAGCTTTTCTGTGTGGAGTTTGTATAATCTTCCCATGTCATTGTGGGTTTTCTCCGGGTACTCCGGTTTTCTCCCACAGTCCAAAGACATGCAGGTTAATTGGTGACTCTAAATTGGCCGTAGGTGTGAATGGTTGTCCGTCTCTATGTGTCAGCCCTGTGATAGTCTGGTGACCTGAATGGATCAAAATGAACACTTATATTGAGGCGAACCATGACTTTTTTTTCTAACCACATACTTCTGTAGCCTAACCCTAAGGAAGTAAAGCTAAAAGCATTTTTTGTACCTATGTTTTAAGTTAAAGAGACCATATTTATTTAATACATCCTATTTGACTGATAGGAGTTTCTCTGTGCAGATAGGCAGTTTCTCCTCTGTACCTCAGGGGTCGATTTTAGGCCCCCTGTTATTTTCCTTGTATATGCTGCCTCTGGGATCTATCTTCCATAAGCACAATATATCCTTCCATTGCTATGCGGATGATGTGCAGATCTATCTCCCTCTTCGGTTGTACTCTAAGGACCCACTGAAACCTCTATTAGCTTGTCTTGCCGACATTAAGAGTTGGATGAGCCAGAGCCAACTTAACCTTAATGACAATAAAACTGAGGTTACTGTATTTGGCCTTCCAGGAGGCTGTTTTAGTTCATTTAATGGCTAGGATCTCCTTCCTATCAAAACCACCCCCTTTATAAAAAGCCTTGGTGTAACTTTTGATTCTAACCTTGATTTTAAAAAACAAATCAGCACAGTGGTTAAAGGGTCCTTTCACCAAATTCATACTCTGTCAGAAGTCAAGCCTTATTTATCTTTTAATGACCTGGAGAGGGTCATCCATGCTTTTATATCTTGCAGGCTGGATTATTGTAACTCTTTATATGTTGGTCTAGACCATACCTCGCTCCCCCGCCTGCAGCTGGTGCAGAATGCTGCCGCTCGCCTTTTGACTGGCACCAAAAATCGTGAACACATCACCCCTGTTCTGGCCTCCCTCCACTGGCTTCCCATCCGTTTTAGAATTGATTTTAAAGTGTTATTAATTGTTTTTAAGATTTTAACTGGTCTGGTTCCCCTATATCTTGCAGAACTTATTCAGGTCCAAAATCCAGCCAGAGCTCTACTTTCGTCCAGAGAACTGTTGCTGGATATACCAAGATCTAAATTAAAGACTAAAGGCGACTGTGCCTTCTCTGTAGCTGCTCCCGAGCTCTGGAATAGCCTGCCACTACATATTAGACATGTGGGATCCGTGGTGAGGTTTAAGTCTGCCTTAAAGACACATCTATTCTCCCTGGCCTTCCGATGCACAGGACCGTCTACCTTAGCCTAGTTTTTCCTTTTTTGTGTATGCGCATATGTATGTATATGTGTATGTACATTATGTGTGTACATGTGTATGGGTGTATGTGTGTGTGCGTATTGATATATGCATATATGTATTTTTTATATATGTATATTTTCTTACTTCTGCACTGTAAAGCACTTTGGCTGACCGTGACAGGTCTTTTAAACGTGCTATATAAATAAAAGTGAACTTGAACTTAAACTAATAAGCTGAAACTGTACGTTTTCTGTAAAAAAGTTCATTTGGAAAAGACACAATGCACGTTAACAAGTGTAAATTCACACACCATCCCTCAGTGTCTAAATGTGAGCCACTGCCCAAGCACTGGTATTTGATGAGCTGGGAGTGAGAATGTGTGGGCAGCACGGTGTATGTTTGATTGACTCCAAATACCATGCCTATGACAATACATATTTTTAATCTACAGACATGAAATAAACAACTAAACAGGTATATGACACTTGTCCATCCTTTACTGTGTGAATGCCTGGACTGCTGGACATTGATACATTTTTTTTATTTGACCCATTTTTTGCCTTGACAGCAGCATTTGACTGCATTTCTATTGACCCTCCCACAGTATGCCAAAAATGGACACAGACACACCATTAATCAACTGTTTGCATATGTCTATTCCTTCCCCTCTGTCCATGAAGAAGAAAGGTTCCCTGACAGCGCCTCAGCCATTTAAGGCATGACCATTATGCACCGCTGTGGCTATTTATAGCCGCCATAGTGTCATCACATCATTCATACGATGATACACTTCAGTCTTGATGTGTCAGTCATCATCAAACCAGAGAAAGACAATCAATTATGATTTCGTTACTGTCATGCACATCGAACCGGAGTTCATGAAATGCTTCACAAATATAGGACAAAATGAAAAGAGCATACAGGGTGATACATTTATGTCAAATGGGTAAAATGGTGTTAATTAATGTTTTCATGGGCGTGTGAGTTGTGTAGAAAACAAAAGTCACACTTGGCTCGATCTAAAAGAGTGTGAAAATGTGGGTTTAAGTACTGAATGTGTGAAACTCTCACTGCACTTTGTTTTCTTTATTGAATATCTCTGGTTTTCATACCGGAAAGGGCTTCTACATTACCTCTGTGCACACACACTGTTTATGTGCCTGACCACTGCTGTTAATCAGAGCAGCAATTAGTTTCGTTGCGTGTTCGGGGATATTCACTACATCTTACAACAACACAGTGTTTATTTCAGATCATGGCAGTTATGTTTACTCTCCGCGTGTATGTAAATGGTGATAAATGGTGAAACACAACTGAAAAACACACAGTGCACGTTTTGCTCCGACTTCTGGACAGAAGCAGGAACTTGAGTTTTTGTTGCAACTGTGGAACAGAAGTGTGTAGTTGTGAATGTATGCAGCAACCTTTCAGTGACTTGGAGCAATATCTCTCTCTACCAGCGCTTTTTATCTCGTCCAGACTTTATCGTGATGTTAATTTTTTCATTTTCTATCAGTGTGGGTGATAGATGCATCTGGACTAGCCTTAAAGCTGCACTAAATGCGACTGTGTTCCTTGCCACTGCAGTTGTCATCACCTCTTGGTTCAAAAACTCAAAAAAAGGCTTATACATCGTCCATTCTGCGGTCCTGCATGGTTTGACACACTTGTATTGCAATTTTATTACTTTTAAGTTTTTTTCATGTAGATGCCAATTTACATTCTTGTTACACAATATTTTAAGTGTGTTGCTACAAAGCTAAAGCTCCACGTACCCAGAACTGGGCATCAAGTTGCCAAAGTTTTTACTTCTGTTATTTTATCTCCGTGTTAGACTTGTAAAAAAGCATGTCTCAGAATTATACGTTCAGAGGAAGTCAGAAGTGTTTTCTTGTAGTTATTCTTACCTTTTTCACCAGGTATCCCTCTCTGATCTGCTGTGGCTCCATGACCCCGCTCTCTGCTGCTGTCAGCTGCAACTTCGGTCACTTCTTTAAAGACTGTTAAAAATGTTCCCACTCAATCCACCTACTGCATACTCTCTCTCTCTCTCTCTCTCTCTCTCTCTCTCTCTCTCTCTCTCTCTCTCTCTCTCTCTGTGCGTCTCTGTCAAAACCACAAACACACACACACACACACACAAGCAGGAAGTTGTGCTGTTGGGTGTGTGACAACGATGCCTGGTCAACCATCTTCCTCTTCTGTGTGGTATTATTAGTTACAGCTACTGCTCGGCTGGTGTCTCTAAACTTTATGCTGTAATGTAGAAAGAAGTAGCTTAACAGCTCGGATAAAAACGGCATCTTTGACGTGTCACTGCAGTAAAATTAATCATTTTAAATTTTAACAGAGGAAGCTGGAGAAGAAACATAGTGACGCATGGATCACCAAACACCCCGACGATCTTACCTTAAATGTGCCCCAAATATAGCCACCTTTGTATAAACTTTTTTTCTCTGCTGTGCCTATGATTGAATTATTTTCTTTACCAGACTTTCCATTATCAGTTTTTTTTCTCGTTATGTAGTGTATTGCTCCATCTGTCTCTTCATTGTCTCATGCTGCTACGTTAAAACATTGCACAAACTCTCTAGCCCGTATGATCTCTGTGTGAGTTTTTCTTCGTCTTTGTTTCCTGTGGTTTTCTTTCATATGTTTGCACATAGTTTTGCATAGTTTTAAGCTTCTTTTTTTTCTTTCTAAACTTTTCTGTGTGCAGTTTCCCGAGTATTTCTGAATGGCAAAAACTGCACTGCTGTCATCATCAAGTATCTGAACTTTTGCATTCACAAACACCCACTGACTTACTGTCTGAATCCTATCTATATTTGGCCAGTGTATGAATAACTATGCGTGCATGATTTAGCTATCATATGTGCATCACAACAGCTGACCTGAGTCAGACAACAGGCTTCCTCATTTTCTAATTGCTCAATGTGGCCAAAGTCTGTTGGACTTGTAGTGAAGAGGACACGCTGAGTAACAGCAGAGGGGAAACAACTTTAAAAGTAGTGGTATTTGTTTGTTAAACTCTTAATGTGTATAAAAAGCTGCACCACAGAGCAGCAGTCAGTTGAGCAACAGAACCACAAGACTCGAAGGTGCACTTTACCCTCAAAATGACCTTTTGTATGTCTCACTCCATGTTACCTTTATTTGTAAAGAAAACATTGTTTCTCCTGCATGCCTCCAAAAATGGAGAATATAGAAGAAGAAGAAGTGTTTGAACACACTTACCTTTTGCACACTAGTCTAATGCAGAAGTGTTTCAAATAGTTAGACTTAAGTGAAAGTGCATGTGTTTGGGAAGTACTGAGCGTACAACTGGATAAATGAGACTTAGATTACACTGCACTAGTTGTATGAGAATTTGGGAACGGATGTTTTGATATAGGGCAACTTGGTGGTGCAGTGGTTAGCATTGTGGCTGTGGCAGCAAGCGAGTTCCTGGTTCGAAACCCAGGGTGGAGGAACCCTTTTGTGCAGAGCAGGTGGGTTTTCTCCGAATACTCCGGCTTCCTCCCACAGTCCAAACACATGCAGGTTAATTGGTGAATCAGCCCTGTGATAGTCTGGCGACCTGTCCAGGGTGTGCCCCGCCTCTTGCCGAATGTCAGCTGGGATAAGCTCCCTGCTTTTAGATTCTTTGTAAACTGTGGAGACATGCGAGAAAAACAAAGTTTTCTTCACAGATTCCAGTCTTCAAAATCATTTGAAAAATCATTGTTTTTTCAGAGTTAGGACTACAACTGCACAACTCAAGTCTAAATCAGATGTGCTGGACTGTCACTCAACTTCAGCTGCAACAGAATTAACTCACACCGTATCAGAATGTGTCACAGCGTGTTGTTTCATGATACAAAAGGAAGTCTTTATACCTTAGGTGTCATAGTGTCACAGTGACCCAGCTGTCTGTGTCAGTGGAAGAACTCAAGATCCAACACAGATATGAGTGGCAGGGATGATGCTATAATACTTTTAGTTTATTCCTCATATTGTTACTGTTTAATACAACAAGCTCCTTAATTTAATATAATATTTTTCATGCTGTGGATGAAGCAACATCCAGGTGGAGGACACAATAACATGAACATCTGTTTACTATAATGCTCTCCAACACAATATCTGAACAGCAACATCTGTTACAGTTGAGAAGATAACTGCTTTCTGTCCTGCTTCTATCAGAGGCCTGGATTCAGCCCAGTGGAGCCTCTGAAAGATACAGTTTGTGGTATTGCAATCGACAGAGATGGAATGTACTTATAACATCAGTAAAAAGAGCTTGTTCTTGTGATGCTGTTAATGTTCCTCTAGAGGGTGACATCAACACATTACAAGCAAACCAGCTGAATGAAATCAGGGAGGCATGCTGTAGTGCACTGAGGGGTTACAGCAGCACTAAAAAGAATATCCATACATCCATTTTCGTAATGGCTTATCCTCTTAAGGGATCCTAGCTGACACTGGCCAAGAGGCGGGGTACACCCTGGAGAGGTTGTCAGACTATCGGAGGGCTGACACATAGAGACAGACAACCATTCACACTCACATTCACACCTAAGAACAATTTAGAGTCACCAATTAATCTGCATGTTTTTGGCCTGTGGGAGGAAAACCCACACTGACACATGCACATGGAGAACATGCAAACTCCGCACAGAAGGGCTCCCTCCTGGGATCGAACCAGGAACCCTCTTGCTGTGAGGCAAGGACGTTGGCATCAGCAATATTGAGAGGGCAGGAGGGAGTGAATCAATCAATCAAACTTCTCAAAGTGCTTCGCATAATAAAAACCCTCTCTCAAGTCTTCAGGCAGACTGTTCCACAGACGTGAACCATAGTTTTGAAATGATGCCTCAACTTGTGTTTTTGTTCTAACTTTGGGGATTTTTAAAAGTCCACGACCATAAGACCTGAGAGATCTAATGATCTAATCTGATAAACAGGTAGGACCAAGACCATAAAGAGCTTTACAAAACCAATAAAAGGATCTTAAAATCAATTCTGAAGCACACATGAAGCTAATGCAGAGACTTTGGTGTAATGCTTGCTCTCTTTCTGGTGCTTGTCAGCACACGTGCAGCTGAGTTTTGTAATAACTGTAACTGAGCAATGTTTTTTTTTTTTTTATTTAGGAAGACCAGAAAGTAGAGCATTGCAGTAATCAAGTCTGCAGGTAATGAAAGCATGCATCAGTGCCGCTGTGTTGGTTTCGGAGAGAAACAGTCGCACTCTGGCGATGTCCTTGAGATGATAAGATCCAGTTTTGGTTATACTTCTAATATGTGGTTCAAAAATCAAAGAAAATGCCAAGGTTTTTACTTGTTGACAGGGTTTTAATGCAAGTTCTTGCAGTTTTGTGTTGAGTTTCTCTCTGAGCTTTGGGACCAATAACTAAGACCTTGGTTTTGTCCTGGTTGAGTCGAAGAAAGTTTTCTACCATCCAGATATCTATCCGATATCCTTGATATCTAAAATACAGTCAAGAGTGTGCTGGTGGAGGAGCTCAGACTACAATAATAGAGGTTATGAAGGACGGGGATGATGTGGTCACAGGTGCAAGAGTGTGTGAGGAGACGAGTAGCTGAATTCTGGGTACATTTTAGTTTCTTGAGAGTTTTGGATGATGAACCGTAATGGAGATTATTGATGAATGCGTGAATGAGAGTCTCAGCAGCTGAAAAGGAGAGGGATGGAAGAAGGTGGGCGATGTTTTGGAGATGGAAGAAGGCTGTTTTGGTGATGTGGTTGATGTGTTCGTCAAAGGGGAGGGTTTGATCGAAGGTGACGCCAACGTTGCGGACATGAGGGAAGGTGAGTACAGTGGAGCTGTCGATAGGGAGAAATTATGAGTGGATTTGAGAGGAGATTTGGGGGCAACGATAATGAGTTCTGATTTGCCACAGTTAAGTTTGAGGAAGTTGGTTTTAAGCCAGGATTTGATTTCAGTGATGCAGCTGGTGAGGGTACAGTGTGTTGTGTTGAAAGTGAGATACATTAAAAGCAAAACTAGCTGAATGAAATCAGGGAGGCAAAACAGAAGGACAAAGATAAAAACCATTGGTCAGAAACATAAATAAGATTATAAAAATAGGGGGTTATCTTATAAGACTTAACATATAAATAAAATTAATATCTGTTGGTGAAACAGACATCTTGGGCAAATGGAGCTCAAAACAAGGTGATAGAATTATTTATAAGATCTTTTATGCATTCATTCGTCCTCTTAATGGGAAGAAGGTTTAAAGTAGCTCCCTCATCTTAATCAACAAGTTACTTTATAATAAGACCATACTGTGCAGAGCCTCCTTCTGATAACGATCTCATTACTCTAAACACTGATCAGAGGGACGTTTCATCTATTTATCAAAAGGGACACTGACCATACTGTTTGTGTTTGCTTTCCTCTTTCCCATGCTCTAAATAAACATCAAGGGAGGTTGGTGTTTATGAGTTTATTAATGAAGCTTGGTCCAGTGAGTTTCATTAACTGTCAACATAAGAGTCATCTCTCCGTGGCGGCGAATGAAAAAGGGGCTCAAGGTATGGAATTTTAATTTCACTGGGAGAACAAAGATGGAAACAAAGAGGCTTCATCTCTCGGTCTGATCAAGAGTAGCCATCAAGGACATCTCCTGAGGCCTGGACTATGGAGAGGGATTCGGAGTTAGTGAGGTCACTTTAGGGTTAACTCTGGATTTTCAGTGCTATGAAGCGGGTTCTCTTTTTACTGGGATAAATTACCTTGGTAACCAACACATTCTCACTCCGACCTTGTCACATATTGACGTTTTGGTCATGGACTTTCCACGTCCACATACAACGTGAAAGGTACCCTGGGTGCGTTGGTTGTTGACATTCTGGGACGCCGTGTCAAGTTCTGCCTGTTACATGCATTGTCTTCTTGAAAATACACTTGTGTTTTCACAGGAAATTTACCGTTTACATACAGTCTCTTTCAAAATAAACACACTACCTCCGTGCAACATCGCAAGCATCTGTTCTTGTCCCGCCGTGTTTCGTATCATGCCTACGTTAAAGGATGCCTTTTTTCATTGGTTTCTGATGCCGGTAGTCACTGCCCAAGCACTGGATTTCGAAGACTTCGGAGTGAAACTGGGCTCCATTATTATAATTGCAGCCTTTTGGTCAGATAGACCTCATCGGTCATTAACTAGGCTACTTCCACACTCTTTACTTCAGTTGCAGAAACTGCTGGCATTTATTTAGTGTTTTATGTGACATATTCAGAGTAGTTTAATCACCATCCAACTAAATAGCAAAAATACTCTACACTAAAAAAATACTCTATACTCTAATGTCACACATACTTACATGTAATTTAAGTCTCAGCTGACGGTGAATTTTTGGATACTATTTTCAATGCTTCTACATTTCCATTATAAGATTTCAAAGTATCGTGTAAATCCCACAACACATTTCACTGTCCTGCAGTCACAGATACATGCGGTTCATGATATGAAGCGACCTACTTCATTCATGGCTCTGATGATGTCACTCATCATTAACACCCCCTGCCTCTTTCACATGAACATGCTCATGGCTGGATAGCAAAACCCAGAGATGACTGAACTAGATGATAACCAGCTTTGTAGTACCAGTTATCCAGATAGCCCATGTAAGGGTTAGTCAAGCCAAATAGCAAAAAGATATCCTGGGTAAGTTGAACTGGCTTCTTAATACAGGCCTCTGAGGTATATAAAGGTGCAATAACAAAAGCTCAGAGAAAGGGGATCACAATCAAGACTTCCTTTAGGTTTATTTTACTGAAATAATGTCTCTGTGTCGCTCCTCTTCATCCCTGTGCTGCCTTTTCATCTGCACATAGAGCAGTGTTATGATGATGTACTGTACATCCTGGGAATAGAAAGAAGAAACAGATCTGTTAGCACTGAGCTTGTAGAGGAGACAAGTAAGGCACTGTAAGCATGATGAAACTGAAGAAACAGGACATCTTAACACACACACACACACACACACACACACACACACAGAAAGAAAAAAAACACCCACTGTCTTCCAATCTCACAAACCCTTTTCACACTTGAACTGACCTATGAGCAGCCATTGTTAAACATCTAGCGGGAGTATGTACCAGGACCATTACAGTAATGTACCATATGTTTCTATATAACATATAAAAATAGAAAATGTTCTCTCCAGTTTCGTGGTGAGTCAGTATAGACTTTGTAAAAGGGGGAATATCATGTGTTGTAGAACATTTGTTGCGTGTCACCTTCACATTTCTTCCTCTTTTTCTGTAGAAATGAAAGACTTTGAAGTAAAAGGTGAAACTTCTCTTCAGATCCTGACTGAAAACCACAAAGTCAGAATTAATTTTCCTTTTTTAAGAACTAGTCCTGCTTTTCCTTGTGTAAATGTTTTGCAAACACTTCCAAATCTTGTGTTTATTATTAAAATATACCTTGTGACTGAGTGATTTGTTTCTCATTTCTCAGTTCTTTAATGTGGCATTACTAAAACACATAGGTGGATTGTGAGGGTATTTAATCATGTACTGTACATAAAATTGCTGTTGCAATACTTACAATGAATCATACGATTACTTGCATGTTAAAGGGGGTTTCCGATAAGGCTCAGACACACCAAACCGACATCAAAGAAATAGTGACAATAAAGGTCAAATGTTGTGTTGCCTCAAGTTGCCTGTGTCTCGGCCAAAAAGTTGCACTTAAACATATCATTGTTAATAAAAATCTATGTTTAATTTTCATTGATGAGACAAGACATGACAGAAATGTTAGTGGTGGACTATCAGACATCGAAAGCTGTGAACGGCCGTGCTTGCAATAATTTTCATACACCGCATGAGTGACTGTGTGGTAAACTCCAATTAATAGTCTGTGCCAGGATGTTCCACTAGCCAGCAAAAACACTCATACCAGAGCAGCGTCAGCCTTTGCTGCAAGTTGTGGGCTGTAATTCAGCAGTAAATAAGCAGCCATGTTTGTCTGACTGAGGATGGTGGAAATGTTAAATGGATTTTTCAAATTTGTTCGTTACAGCGGTGGCTTTTAGCAGTTAGCTCTGCTTGTTAGCTACTGAACGGCAGCAAAGCCAGCTGCCAGACTTCACATCTGTTGATGTGCTGTAAGTGAACAGTCTGAACTCAGCAGAGTTTTCTCCGACAGAGATGAAAGTCTAGTTTTAATCACCAACTACATAACACATGAGTTTAAACCTCCAGACTATCATCCATAAGTCAGAGTCTAAAGTCTAAGACAGAGTGAACTTGGGTACAAATCCAAGTTGTCTCAGATTGGTTATTTGTGGTGTCAAAGTTTTAAAGACCATAAATAGAGAGATGTTGGGCTTTTCAAGTGATGATGAGTACTGCAAGTGTGTGCTCATCAATCTCCCCTTAAACCTGTCAAACACTGCTGGAGAAATGACAGTTTCTAAGTGTGTAGAAACTATTTGTAATTGTAGATAAAAATTGTATAAATGAAATTTTAATACAACCTGTCACCTTGATTTTAATTTGTGATACCTGAATTAACTTGATTTGTTTAAAGATGGAAAAAAAAATTGAAAAGTAGACTTTTTGTCTACTAAAACATTTTCAGTTTTTGTCGATTAAAATATTTTTGAACTTTCGTTGACTAAGAATTTGAAGGATAAAAATGACCAAAATGTTTCATCTCAAAACTAAGGCCCAATCCCAATACCCCCCCTTGTCCACTACCCCTTAGCCCTTGGCCCTACCCCTAGCCATTGCCCACTACCCCTTGGCCCTCGAAATGAAGCAATGAGGGGTAGGGGTTGAAATTTTTCCATAAGAATTGGGACACCACTCACTACGTCACAGTGTCGGTTACGTTCGCGCATACATTACTACTTTAAACAGGAAGCTGCAAGCCATCTACATTTCCAACCAACGGAGTCTGCGGGTTGAGTTCATCCTACCTATTGTGTTTGCTTCGTTTGATGAACAACAGACGACAGGGGACTTCTGCTAGCTAGCTAGGTAGCTAACCAGCTAACATTACGAGGCGCCAGATAGTGCAAGCTAGCTAGCTAGCTAGCTAACAAGCAACCTGACGACGGTAACGTTAGCTACGTATGAACTTTTTCCCCCGTCTCTTGCTCGGTGGTGGCCATGGCGACGTCTACCCCTCCCTGGCAGGTCAGCATCTGAAATCCCTCGCTCTGAAGGGCTAGTTTCATACCCACTACCCCTCATTATGCCCCCTACCCCTACACGCAAAAACAAATTGGGAATGCGCAAATGTAGGGGTAGGGTTAAGGGGGGGTATTGGGACAGGCCCTAAGACTAAATCTAAAATAGCTGTCAAAATTAACACTGGTCTAGTGTGTAGGATTAAACAGCAACTAGCAGTGAAGTTGATGAACTGAAACTTCTTCAGTGTGCCAACAGGTAGGAGAACTACGGTCAACCAAAAAACATAAGAATGGCCCTCTCTTGAGCCAGTGTATGATTTGTCCATTCTGGGCTACTGCCGAACAACATGGCGAACTCTGTGGACCTGCTCTGAAATTATAAACAATTAATTATAGGGTCATGAATCACAACGATTTCAGGTGATTATAAATTAATGAAAGCATAGTTGTGAATATTATATTCCATTTCCTGCAAACATATCTCCCTAAATCCTACTGGACCTGTAAGTCTCATTTTGAAAGCAGGGCTACTACTTTTTTCTTGTAACTCTTCCCCACTCCGACTACAGTAGCAGCAGAACAGGGTGAGTTCTAAGTTGCTCCACTTTCGAGATCACTTCCATTTTTCTTCCTCCCTTTTCTCATATCGAACACAGCAATAAATACTGCAATACCGCAGTTCCTCCTGCTGTCCCAACCTTTGCCATAGCTCTTGTTTTGCAGCCCAGGGATTTAGACATCTTCATCCCAGTCCTCTGTACCTCGCACACACCATCAATAATTCTGCTAAAGAGTGCACTGAGCTGAAAATGGGAGGGGAGGTTGGAGAGAGAGGGGGGCAGCTGATGGCTTTTCCATGGCACACTCAATCTCTCTACCTCCTTCCATTCCCATTGTGCTCCCACAGTTCCTAACATGACCTTCCTCAATGTTGTTTATCATTTCTGCTGTTCGGACAACAGGCACACACACAGCAGGCACACAGCCTTTATGGCCCCAACATAAAACAGGCACTCTTCAGCTGCTGAAGCGGGTTCTCAAGAGGGCTTTTATTAGTGTGTTTTAAATTGTTAAGAGCCACGAGCAGCGGCCATAATAAATCTGTGAAAAGGCTGCAAAGTTGCTGTTAGCAAAAGACATATTAGAAAAATGCGGGAAGGAATTGAATCAGTGAGCATGTGTATTGTAAAGATGTCAGCCTTATACAGAAACATAGATTAAATTCAGAGCACTTCACATCTTTATAACAGATATTAAAAAAAAAAAAAAAAAATATTCTCCAAATAATACGGTATCATCACAAGATGCTGAAAATGAGTGTCCAGCTTCACAAGGCTGATTATTTATTATGTCAGGTAATACAGATATAAAACATTATTACATGGAAAGAACAGCTAACACACCTTACTGTATGTCTGTTCACACACAGTGTTGCAGAGTTCAGCACTGTGTTGATAAGATGCAATCTGACAACATTTCATGAATCACACAGAAATGTAAATCAACTTTTTATGCTGGAGACCGGTGCAAATAGATGACACTGGCCTTCCCTCAGGGCACTACAACACTTGTTTCCTCACATCCCACTGAGCCAATCCCTTTTCTGAAACCCAGATTTCATGATAACGGATGAATCAGACACATTTTTCTGTAGAATGAAAGATAAATATTACTCTCCCGCCGGGAAATGTAATAAGACCCCTCTAACTGGTCTTTGATAAATATATTTTTCATCCCGCCAAATGATGATGATATTTCATTTTTGTAAAAATGATTATTTGCATATTGGGAGGCAGTTATTTTGACACATGGTGATTTTATGTGTGATAACATAGCACACATTTTATGAGCTGTCTGCAGGCATCTAATGAATTCAGTCCCTTGGAATGTTTGGAAAAAAACAAGTAAACAGTTTTATAATGAAAATCAATTCAGAATAGTTGACAGGGATAAAAACAAAATGTCAGTCAGTCCATCTACCTTTTTGGCCCAGACTGAAATATCTCAACAATTACTGTATGAATTGACATGCAATTTGGTATCATTTATATTCAAGTTTCCAAGATATTTCTAATGACTTTTATGATACCTTGACTTCTTCCCTAGTGCCAGCTGAAGGTTGACATTTGTGACTTTCAGTGAATCATCTCAACAGCTATTAGAAGGACTGCAGGATCAACTACAATAAACGTTCAACACACAAATACATTGATCTGTTATTAAATATGTATAACATTTCCATTATACTTAGTATTATAGACACAGTATTTTGTGTTTAGTGCTAAGTGTTATGCTTGGTCGGTGACTTCTGGCGTCAGACACAAATGAAAAGAGCTGTCTATTCAGGTCTGAGTGACAAGTGGCCAGTCACCGTTTTTGTTAACAGTACCCAGTGGCAGAAGAAACACGGCGGGGCAACAATGAAAGTTAAGGGGGCAGAAGTCCGATAAGGGCAGGTGGGAGGGGTGGCGAATGGGTCCAACAACCACAGACTTTCACCTGGGAGGCCGGTGTTCGTTTTCTGAAAGACTGTAGAGCCAAACCTTGTTCGTTTTTCCTAAACTCAACCACGTGCTTTTGTTGCCAAAAGTAACCACGTGCATTTGTTATTCAAAGAAAAAAACATCAGTTGAGGGTGTTTTGAATTGACTGTTGAATGTATGCAAACTGTACATTTCCTGTGAAAACAGAAGTGTATTTTCAAGAAGACAATG